GAAATTTCCCCTGGCTAGATGTTTATTTCAGGTCAGAAGTCACGACATTTATTCATGGATGATATATTCCTTTTTCAATGAAACTACCTTCTAACGACAAACCTTGGTTCAACAAAGATTGCGAGCAAGCTGTCGCCTTCAAAAATCTTGCCTACCGGCAGTGGCGCAATAATCTCAGTGCCGAAAACCGAATTAGCTTTGTTAATGCTCGCAACAGCAAACTTAAGCTAATTGAAAGCAAAGAACTTCACAATCAGAAAATTACGGATGAACTTGCCAATCCCAAAGGGTTTAGATCCTTCTGGTCGGTAGCTAAAGCCGTTAATCAGAACTTTACAAAATCCACAATTCCAACACTGATACAAACAGATGGTACAATTGTAACAACAGCCATAGAAAAAGCAAATCCACTAGCTGAACAATTTGCGTCCCACTCCTTAGTCGATTTTCTGGGAAAGGCACCACCCACCATTGCACAATGCAGCGTCTAGTCAGGCGAATTTTGAAACAGCTCAATATCAAGAAGGCGTCTGGCCCTGATGAAGTGCCCGTCATCGTACTTAAAAAGTGCGCAAATGAACTCGCACCAGTATTTTTCAGACTTTTCAACCTGTCTTACACGAAAGGAGTTTTTTCTTCTTGTTCGGAGATTGCTCGTGTTCAGCCTATTCCCAAAAAGGGGAAGAACAATCTTTCAAGTAACTATAGACCAGTCGCTTTGCTATCAGTGATATCAAAAATCATACAGAAAGTTGTAAACCACCATATCCTCAAATATTTCTGAAGGCTTCGACATCTTGAGCGATCATCAATATAACTTTCGGAAACAAAGATCAGTAGGCGATCTTCTATCGTATGTCACCCATGTTTGGAATAACGCAATCGAGAAACATGGAGAATCAAGAGCTGTTGCGCTCGATATTTCTAAGGCCTTCGACCGTGTGTGGCATGAGGGTTTGCTAGCCAAACTTCCAAGCTGTGGCTTGTCGGATCATTTCTGTTTATGGCTCTTCAGCTTCCTGGAAGAACGTTGCCTGCAAGAGGCCGTTGATGGATATCTCCGGAACACTTCCACCATCAACGCTGGTGTTTTCCAGGGATTCATATTGTCTCCAACCCTCTCTTTATTTAATATCAATGACTTATTGGAAGAAACAAAAATCCAAAATATTACTTTGCTGACGACTGCACACGTGCCTCGTCATTCCATTTGGATTCCAGGACATCGACTACGGAGGCACATCTTCACCGGTAGCAGGAGGTTGCATATCCTAATGAGGATCTAGTTGTATGTGAATCGGGGTGGAAGTAACCAGGTTCAATTCAATGCCACAAAAACCCAGATAGCAAGGGGGTTGTGTGGCACCTTGTTGGAAAGGGATTTTAGTCCTCTGTTCAGCAATATAAAATTTGTTAAGTTTGGTGCAATCATAACTGAGAAAATTGATTTTTGGATGTAAAATTTTGATAATGTCTGTAGGTATCACAAAACTTTACATAGAATGAAGATAATAATGCCACATAATATTAAGAATATATTTTTCAATTTACTTTACAATTAATTTAAATGTTCAAAATGGCCACCATTAACTTCTTGACAATAACCGAGGCGATTTTGGAATTCTCGTACAACATTTTGTATGACCTCGGGGGTTATTTTGTCAATTTCTTCCGTTATCCTAACTTTTAAATCAGCAATATTGTTTGGTCTATTAAAATATACTTTAGATTATAACCCCATAAGAAGTAATCGAGAGGAGTCAAATCGGGGGATCTAGCCGGCCATTCGATCATTCCACGTCTTCCAATGCATCTATTGGGAAAAACCTCGTTTGAATAATTTCTAACTGTACGTGCAAAATGCGGTGGAGCTCCGTCGTTAACTTTTTTAGAATATTGAGTGTAAGTCGCACACATCCAGTGAGGATTTTCTCTGCTCCAATATATACAGTTCTGTGTGTTAACTGTTCCGTTTAAATGAAACGTCGCTTCATCAGAAAACACTATTTTGTTTATGAACCACAAATCTGCGTTCATTCTGTCCATCATCAATTCACAGAATTCATGCCTTCTATCAGGATCATCTTCATTTAACTCCTGAACCAACTGAACTATGTAAGGGTGGTATTTTTCTTCATGCAAAACTCTCAAAATAGATGATTTACTTACATCATTGGCGGCGATAAATTCTCGAGTTGTCTTATGCAGATTTTCCTCAATCTCTAGAAGTACATCTAACTTTTCTTCATCAGAAAAAAACTTTATATTGCTGAACAGAGGACTAAAATCCCTTTCCAACAAGGTGCCACACGACCCCCTTTGCTATTTAAAATTTTCGAGGGGGTGCTCATAATTCAGAAGGTGTGCTGGAGAGGGATGATATTTTCATACTGTAAATTGTCAATTTAAAAATAAAAATCGACCTGTTTCAGGTTTTTTTCACATAGTACATAATAACGCTAAAAATGAATTTATCCCATACATATGGACCGCACTGTTTATATTAGAAATACGCGATGGACTTGTACCTTTGTTAGGTCGGAAACTTTTCAGACCACTCGTTATCTTGAGCGCTTCTCTTATTTCAGCTCAAACTTAATTTGAAATCCCTAATCCGATATCTACCAATTCCAGCATACTTGCACGAGTTCGTTTCAAATTATTTTCTATAGTTACTTCAACTTTCCTCTCATAGCAGAAGGTCTGAACTGTCGCTTTATATAATCGCTTCTCGTAAGATATAGAGGTTGTGTGGGACTTTTTCAATGATTTTGTACTTTCCAAATTGGTTTTTCGTAGGAGTTCGATTTATGTTCGGTTGAACAACACCGAAAGTAAATATTACTTTATACGAATGAGTTTGTTATCGTTACAAGTTGAATGCAATCATTCTTCAAGAGAACATATATCGTACTCTCTCAAAATATTCAACTTTGATTCGAAGCAGCTAAAAGTGTTATTTTATTAGAGTTGATCGAGATAAAAAGAATACAGTGTGAACGTAAAAATTTTCCCCACCCTCTAAAATCTTGAATGCACCACATATAATGATCGGAAAAAGTTACTGTAAAAACCTTTTTTTCAGTTTTTGCTTTATATATAAAATTAATAGTGGAATCTCATTCGCTGCCGGGAGCCCTCTATCAATTTTTTTTACAGAAAAAGTGTCGTTTGAGAGTATACGTCTTTAAATTCACTATTCATTATAAAATATCGAGAATCAAAATAAAAGTAATGCTCGGGAAAGCTAATGGTAAGTTAAAATTGTTGACTTTTCTAAGCGAATATCTCACAGAAAACTATCAATATTTTCTCAATATTTCATCCTAGTTCCTGCTAGTTACTTTTTGCAACAAGGTATTTTTGCGAAATAAATGTTTTTGGCTTTATAACTTTTCATCTTTGTACAAAAAATGTAAATAGTTCATTCTGAACCTGATTGTTCTCTTCTTTCTTCTGGAAGTTTTCCACATTTTTCATAAAGATAGAAAAGAAGAAAGCCAACAACTATTCTCTCCTTGAAATATATCACTTTCATTCAAATAATCTTCATGTGGCAGAGATTGAATCAATTGAATAAATTAAAATTGAGTGTCATTACGTACTGTCAACATGATATTCAACTCACCCGTGACATGAAGTCTTTTAATGTTAGCCAGAACAGTGCTGATAAGCTAATAAGACAAGCGTTTCAATCCGAAACTTCGAAGTCCTCCAATGAGGATGATAGTGTTCCAAATGAGAATTTTTTTTATCGTAACTCTTTCATGTATTATAGTGTATAGCGTTCCTATAAATGGTATCTGGTTCAATTCCATAACAAATGTTTGGAGTTCAAACGAAATAAAAAACGAGGTTTTGGTTAAATTTAATGTTCATATGAAACTATTTGTTTCGAAAGTACATTTTCTTTCATATAATTCAATATTCATGCGAGAGTAGTTATTTCAAGATGGTTTTTTTTCCATTTCATATCTGAAAGTAACTTATGTGAATAATTCACACATCTATTTCAAAAGTTTATTTTCAACTTGATTTCGTTCATTATTTGAAAGTTGTTTTATGAAGATGGAGAAGTAGAAAGTTAAAAACTTCCCTTTCCCAAAAATTCTATATTTTCTTCTGAAGGATTTTTTCTGATTCAATCATGAATATTTTCGAGAGATCTGAGAATGGATTTTTACTTGACTTCTGCAAGATGTCATAAGCTATTAGAGGAGCTTGAGCTCTTCTTAAACATCTCAAAGTTGTACGGCGTAGGAAAAACGTCATTATAGATGTCTTCATACATGCTTTCGCTATCCCTCAGAAGGGTTCTGTGTCAATCATAGCCTTGGTTGCGTCTTTAAGGGCTAGAACATAGAAATAAAGGATATACTATTTTGAATTTTTCAGGTTTTCCTGTTTATCACCTGATCTGAAAGATATCATTCATTGCTATCATTCAATAAATATTACTCTTAAATGGATAATCTCGCCTCAAGTTGGTAGAGCCGATGACTTTTCCCATTACAAAAACTATATCCGTGGGATCGACATACAGAAAAATCAATTCACGAATATTATAGATAAACAATACACTACCCGAAATAATGGAAGTTTCAGTGATAAACAGAGAAAAATCTTGTTCAGTGATCGATGTCAAAGTCTGGCTTTGCAATTGATCCCCTTGGATCTTTCTCTTTCATTTTTGATATTCGTGGATTGATTTTTCTGTCGATCCCGTAGATGTCGTCTTCGTAATGCGAGATGTCATCAGCTCTACTTACTGAAAAATGTCAAGGATATTTGTAGTTTCATCTTCCCCTTAGTATAACAGTCTCCTCCTCTTGAAAGTTCCAAATCCGCTTACAGAGGCTCATTCCTGCATTATTGAGAGAATTTTTCCAATATCTAACGAAATGTTTTATTTCAAAATAGTGTTGGTGTTGCATGGATGTTATTAATTTTTCCTGTCAATCCCAATAACGGTGCTAACCACGATCTCTTTATGGTTTCAGGCTCCAACAAGGAGTTGGATAGAAGCAACTTTCCACAAACGAGAGTGCTCCAGGTACATTCGCCATACGAAGGATCAATCGAGGTGAGTGCATTTTTACTATTTTTTTCAAAAAGAAATGTACAGTGGGTGTTCACCGTCCAGGTTCCATTAGGAGTTTGAGGTGAATGCGTGTAGTTATGGAGAAGTATTCCGTTTAAAACTTTTGTCGATCAATACATTGGTGAAACACGCGTCGAGAAGAGTGTTACAGTTCTGGCGTTTGTTTTCATTATACTCCAAAGGTTCCAGTGCCGCCTTTCATTTTTCCAATGGAGTGTTATATAACACTTTTCATTTTTGGATTCTGTCGCAAAGATGCTTTTAAAAATACAAGATAACATGGGTATGTACTGAGCGGTTCAGTTCATACACACACAGTATGAGTAATACTCTGGCAAGAAAAGAATGAAACTATTTTTATGTTCTTGTGATGCACTGTTTGGAACCTTTGGTGTAGTAATGAATATGTAGGGATTTTCCTACAACTACTTTGTTCAGAAACATTTCATTTCCTCATTGATTTTCATTTTGTATTATGAATTTTTGTTAGAAAATTAACTTTTCATAACTGCATTATCGAGCAGTCGTCCGAAATATCCATCTGTTTGGGTTTTTATGTTAATTCGTTTATTTTAATTTTTACTTATCATTTTCGTATTTTTTCATCGCATATTATTGAAATCCTCTCTTCTCTTGAGACGAAAGTTTATTTAAACAGATGAATATTCAGAACGACACCACTTGGGATGTTTCGAGTAGGTACTCATTGTTAAAACTTTTGTGGATGGCCCAAGTGGTTGACCTTTCTTGGCTATATTCATGACCCCGACCATAGTGAGTTACTTCGAACACATTTCATAGCCGAGGCATTCATTCTGTTTTGGGATTTCGGCCGGCAACTATTTCTCATTCTGGGGTTTCCGCCAAGAACTGAAGCGTTATCTTTGATAACATGTTCCTAGATAATTTCGTATACGGTCCGTTAGTGATTACGGTATAAACCCTTTCGTTGTAGTTCGATTTATCCAGAATTACCACTGTGTTAACTTTATCAAATTGACCTGACTGGTAGAAAAGGCAACACTGTGTGAAATTAATTTTAAGGCAGTCAAGACGTAGGTATCTAGCAGAGGTATCTATGGTAAAAAAAAGGACAACATTGTATGTAGATTCAGTTTGATTTTCCTCTTGAAGATTATCACTTGGTGATTAAAACACGTGCCGAGGTGTTGAAATATAAATCGGTTCAAAAAATATGTGGGATAACCTTGGGATATAACAGCTTTATCGAGCAGTCGTCCGAAATATCCATCTGTTTGGGTTTTTATGTTAATTCGTTTATTTTAATTTTTACTTATCATTTTCGTATTTTCTCATCGCATATTATTGAAATCCCCTCTTCTCTTGAGACGAAAGTTTATTTAAACAGATGAATATTCAGAACGACACCACTTGGGATGTTTCGAGTAGGTACTCATTGTTAACACTTTTGTGGATGGCCCAAGTGGTTGACCTTTCTTGACTATATTCATGACCCCGACCATAGTGAGTGATGATTTTTCGAGAGTTACTTCGAACACATTTCTTAGCCGAGGCATTCATTCTGTTCTGGGATTTCGGCCGGCAACTATTTCTCATTCTGGGGTTTCCGCCAAGAACTAAAGCGTTATCTTTGATAACATGTTCCTAGATAATTTCGTATACGGTCCGTTAGTGATTACGGTATTAATCCTCTCGTTGTAGTTCGATTCATCCAGAATTACCACTCTGTTAACTTTATCAAATTGACCTATCTGGTAGATAAGGCAGGCAACACTGTGTGAAATTAATTTGAATGCAGTTAAGACGTAGGTATCTAGCAGAGGTATCTATGATGAAAATAAAGACAACATTGTATGTAGATTTAGTTTGATTTTCCTCTTGGATATGATCACTTGGTGATTAAGACACGTGTCGGGGTGTTGAAAATAACGGTTTGGTGTTGGAACTAGTAATATTCTTATTTTTATGTGTTGTTTGGAGTTTCGTACTCTCTTTCTTTCTCTCGTACATTGATATTTATTCTTATTTCATTCCCTGTGTAGAATAACATTTTTGTTGACACTTGGCGTCGACGCGTGCTTTCAATAATTGTGTTAGTATCCAATGAAAAAATATTTCTACATGGAATTACGTATGCACCCTCCTCAGATGGCACCGCATGGGCATAATTCAAAATATCACCCAATTTTTATTAGTGCACTCAACCACAGAAAAGTGTAGTAGTAGTTTATGTGAAGAGTTTGAGAATAATTTATTTATGTAATTGAAAATTGGAACTATTTTGTTGGTCAAAACACAAGCACTACAGGAAAGCCTATGCGAATGTAGCGATTTACATTGGATTTGAACCGTTGAAGATTAAATCCATTTGGAAAAACGTATTCAGGAAGTGTATTCCTCATAAACGCAGTTCTGTAGAAGGAAGAGTTCTTGAACAGGGAAGTTCGAGGCATACTGAGTTGAACCTCAAAACGATGAGCAGCCACAGTCCGTCGCGTATTTCTGATATCTACCGCTCTTGGTGGAATCAAATGTGCCAAGTCACTTGCACACCTCCCGTGAAAAAATCTATAGAAGAGAGACAAATCTCCAACCTTTCTTCGATGTTCCAGGCTATCAAGATTGTACGTCATGTTCGCGTCTCCAATTAGGCGGAAGGCTCTTTTCTGGATGGAATCCAACAACTTCAGGGTATGTTTGGGGGCAGAGCTCCATACATGAGAACAATACTCCAGAGAAGGCCTGATCTGAGATTTATAAACCATCAAAAGTTGCTGAGGTGTGTATAGTTTTCTGGTTCGGAACAGTATTCCAAGCTATTGAGAAGCAGCCTTTGCAATTCCCATCGACATGATTGTGCCTAGTCATATTGGTGCCCATTTTAACCCACAACAAAGTTACCGAAGCAGAAAGCGGAATTGTCTGACCTGCCATTATTGTAACCGATTCGGAGACATTTATCTTCTTGAAGGAAACCGATGCCTGGGTTTTTGTGAAGTAGCGTAGCTACTAAGGGGCTAGGCGGGGCAGTGCCCCGGGGCCCTCAAGCTCAGGGGGTCCTCGACCTTACCAAAAAATCTCAATCGAACTCAACTTTTGAGAATTTCTCCCATTTTCAAAATTTCCCCCATTTTCAATATAAATATGATAGATGGCAACACGACTTTAATCATGGCAACTCAGTTACTTGATACATTAATAGCTCAATTGAAAACACGATTTACTGGTATTAGTGCAGTTTGTCAAACATTCGATTTTCTAACACCAACATTTTTATTACATGTTGATGAAGCAACTTTATTACAAAAGTGTGATGAATTCCAAAGAAAATATTCAGATATAATAGGCTCTAGCTTTTCAATCCAATTTGTCAATATTTACCACCTACTTGTATCTCAATTAACTCAAGCATGGACTGTTCACCAATTATGTAAGGAAATAATGAGTAAATATGGAGAGCTAGAATGCGATCTAACGGAAGTATTTACAGCAATGTTATTATTCTTTACAATTCCTGTCACTTCTGCAGCAGCTGAAAGGTCATTCTGCAAATTAAAATTAAAAAAAAAATTGAAAAATAGTATGAGCTAAACTCGAATCCGACATTTATTACTAATAGCAATTGAGAACAAAACTTCATCAAATCTGGATTTAACCGAAGTTATTGATACTTTTGCGAAAACTAAAGCTAGGAATAGATTGTGATTATAATAGCTATTTAGCCAGTTGATAGGTCCGATCTTTATATAATAATAACAATGAACCCTTGAATCTTTTCTATTTCGTTTTATTGGCAATAATTACTCCAATTATTAAAATAATTGTAATTTATGTTGTGAGTGTTTAATATTTTTATTACTTGCCCTGCAATGCGTGAAAAAGAGCTGATGATAAAGTAGTTTAGCATTTTTCAAGTATTTGTATATTTAATGATTTTACTTCATAAAACCTTACCAGTTTTGATAGCAGTGGGGCCCCATTTTTTCATTTGCCTCAGGGCCCTAGGTTACCTAGCTACGCCACTAGTTATTATGATTCATTCATATCGCACATATCTTTATCACTCATACCAAAGTGCGAAGTGTCCAATATTCACATTAGCTCAAAAACTACATTTTATTTTTCATATTTTTATTGTAATAATTTACAATGTGAATTTCTTTTGTATATGTTGAAATTTCATATAGAGGACATACGAAGTCTGTTAAAAAACAAGGTGAAATTCAATTTCGCAAGCTACGTACATTCGATTAGCGATACTTTTCTTGTTGATACACTCGTCTCGAATATATGTCCACAGTTTCAGCTGTGTAGAATGTTTTGTTCGTTGTTGAGAGGCATATAAGTTTAAAACGTTTTGCGTGTTCGGCGATTTTCTACTATTGAAAAAACTGGATCAAAGAATTTGCATTAAATTTTGTGTAAAGAATGGAGCTAAATGCTCAAAAACACTCGGAATATTGACAGTGGCATACGGTGATTGTGGTACAGCGGTATAAGCTTTTCACAGGAGGTCGAGAAGATTTGAATGACGACGCTTGCCGTGGACGCCCCAGTACATCAACAACCGATGAAAATGTTGAGAAAGTGAAGAAAATTTTCATGAAGAGTCGTCCAACTACTATTAATAGGGAAGCCCAAGCGGGGATTTCGGGATTTACTAAAGTGCGACAGATTAATATACAGGGGAATACCTTGTACATGGTTAAGTATCTCCACCAAATATGAGCCCCATATATAAGGCCGCCTGTGAGCGATAAAGGATATCACAAGTAGTCTACTTAAAACACATACATTCATTTATTTGCATGCTATGTCCTGAGCTTTTCAATTAATTAAGTTCAATGATGAAAAAAAAGTTAATTGTTTTTGTCAGAATAAACGAAACCCTCTGGATAATCGTCAGATTATGAGACAGTACGTCTTAAACATAAAGATGAACCATATATATCTTAATCTGACGCGCTTGAGTATTTCAAAATGGCGAATTATTTTTGCGC